GGGGAAAATACTTTCTGTGTGTTTATGTCACGATAATACTCTAAGCACCTAATGAAACATGTCAATGATAGCTTGCATCTATACTGAATGAGCTCAGTTCATCTGAACAGTGCAGGAGGTTAAACAACATTAGAAGGCAGTGGATCTGACTGATATTTAGATGTAATGCTGATACAAAACTATATAACTTGATTAGAATATATATACATCAGTAAACATCTCAAAACTTGGGCACTGTGGTAGAGTGTAACTCCATTATAGATAAGATTTTATTTTGATAAGTCACACAGTGTTATACAGTAATATTAACTGATGACGTTTCGAGCACAAATTATTGCTCATAATCATATCAAGTTACTCACACAACTTTTTCCTTCATTCAGGTGTGGAATTTACCAGCTTTTTGAATAAAAATCAATATGTGATAATGTACATTCAGAAATAATAATCCGAGTGTTACTGATCAATTACAATCAGATGGGAGTGCTTTTATAGTCATAATAAGTAACTCGTTAGAATGTTGTGATGTGCTTGAATTGAAATAGAATTTTGAGATTATTTATCATCTATCCCCTTCTGATTTGACTGGCGGTAATAATATCTTCCATATTCCTGGTATTTGCATTGAGTCATTTCTGTTGCATGTGTTGGGTTTAGACCCAATGAACCAGGATTCAGTAATTAATCTCTCTCTTCACCTACATAGATTACTTTTTAGAATTCTAACCCTCTCCCACCCTACTGTGTATTAATGCATGTAGTGCGATTGCTGAGCTTTTTCCTAAATTACTTATCTTCGCTGGTGTGGTTAACCGTTCTTACCTTAGCCACATTCTTATGTTTTATTTTTTTTTTATAGTTTTAATATAGCTTGACTCCACACGGTATTTTTGATACCAGTATGAAATTTTCAGCATGTGATATCGGTAGCCCAAATTTTGCAGGCCGACCATTGATATCGGGAGTGCATCGGCCGGGAATCAAACCCCGGACCATGTGCATGGTTGGCGAGCCTCCTAACTGCTGTGCCACCGACGCACTTATCCGTCAATCTGATGACCCCCGATCTACTAGTTTGACCTCTATAGTTGACCTCACAGTCATTGCAGGGTATTTTTGTAAATTATATTATTTTGTTTAATTGGGTCCACCGGGTCTTTTAGCCTACAGAGCTAGTCTCTGGTCAATTCCATACATGTATATGAATAAATGATGTATAAATGAAAGAAAAAGTTGTTTGAGTAACTTGATATGATTATGAGCAATAATTTGTGCTCGAAACGTCATCAGTTAATATTACTGTATAACACTGTGTGACTTATCAAAATAAAATCTTATCTATAATGCAGTTATACTCTACCACAGTGCTCAAGTTTTATACTTATATCAGTATATTTTCCTGAAAATTCGTTTATTTTATTCTTTTCTAATAAAAAGGTCTTTCACTTGACCTACTTCTCATCACTGTTGTAAAATTCTTAAATTATTTTCTGAAGTTTTGAAAGTTGAAGTCATTAACTGCCTTGGAATGATTAGCTAGACAAACTGAGTGGTTAACTTATACAGGATCTTTGGATGCTAACCGGAGGCTGAGTACAGTTTTATGAATTCATGGTGTCATACAAATGAAATATTACATGAAACAGGAAAAAATTAATTTTAGAGAACTATGTCAATTAATAACAGTATTTGTTCACCGTAATTTCGCTATCAACTTTTCCTAACTGTACGTTTGTCAGACAGGATGAAACAGTTTCTCGTTTAAGTGAATGCTGATGATGTCACTAATTATTATGAAAAAATAGTATCCGTATTCAAGTATATGAAAGCGCATAAAAACTGAAACACTTCACCTCACTAGATGGTTGGTGACTACCGATTGAATCTAGCATGAGCATTTAACCCTATTTCAGACTCGTCAGTTGGATGTACCTGCAATCTCCAGGAAGTGATGGTCATCCCACTGAGTCCTAGTCTCAGCAAGAAGAACATCGCTCGTCTCCATCCAAGCAGAACATTAAAAAATTATAATGCGGAATTCGAAGTCTACAATTATACAAGTTGCATCTTCAAAAATCATTATGTAGAACACATGAAAATAAAAACCTATCAGCTTATAGAGCTTTATATTTCAGTACCGGCTAATTTTAGTGCTGAAAAAGGCAATGTGGAAATACTATTAATAACACATAGTAAAAAAAACAAGAATTTCATCATTTTTATGGGCATTTGACTATAAAAATTTGGTCATATGTGAAAAAAGTCAGATATTTAAAAACAGTTCTATTTGCAGTCAATGGAATATTTATTTTTAAATAAAAACGTTACTTACAATACTAGATATAAGTGAATGTTGTTCCAAAGAGAAGTTTTGGTGAAGAGTGAACTGTTATCTTCATTTCAAATATTTATTAAATTTTTCACGTTTTTAACAGCATTTAATTTGTTGTGTGTATACATTTGAATGACAAAAGTCGTGTTTTTCCAAAAATAAATACTTGATTTTTTCATGATCTTAAAGTCTGTGCTTACACATTCATTAATGACATAAACTTTGAATCTTTAGAACTGACCTGTTTAACTCATTCATATATAAATATATACATATATATACATATATTGCATTTTGGTATCAACAGAATAAAGATTTCCAAGTGTTATTCATTCAAATTTAGGCGTTTACGGTGGCCATTTATAATGACGGCCTACACGTGACTGCTTAGCTCCTCGTTATAGTGTCGTGGTCTCAGTTTCCTGGAGATTAGAAAGCAGGATGAATGCAGTAGGGGAGGGAACTGATTCAAAATATCCTTTCTAGATATTCAACTCACAAGACGTGGTATTGAAACATTGCGAAGATACATCCACATAAAGTTATTATGGGATGGACAGTCAATGAATTTCTACAACTCAGTGCCTCAGCATACTAAACGTAACCAGATTCGTTTCAATGGGTCGCAGAATCAGCTAAATTTACGATCCTGAATTCATGAAAAAAGTTCTCTGGATTCCAAAATTTGTTTAGATCATCCTTAAAAACATTCATTTTGTCACTACAAAATGGTTGTGTAGCTTGAGAATAATATCTCTGGAAAGAGTAAGGCTATCCTACACAGGTCTTCTTTCATTTCCCCTGATGGGAATTTTAAGCTCCAGTACATTTTAAACTAATTGAGTAATACTTCTCACGACAGTGGGAAAATGCTTCATACAAAATGCAGTTTTCAGCCTGCGTCTAGTTGATGCTCGTTAAAAGTTATTTCCATACGGTAACAATATCAATGGTGCAAACCTGTGCTAACTTCTAAACATAAGAGTATATAAGTGGTAGGCGAAAATAATGTTGACGGCAATCCTGTCATCCTTATGTATGAACACATTTTCAGATATTATAGATTGTTTATGCAATATAATTATAAGTATATGGACTCTCCAGAGGATAAATATTCTTCGTCTTTTGAAATTCATTATGTATAGTACACATTGAGAAAAGCTTTTTAAAATATAATGATTATGCAGATGACCATTGTCCCATATTTCAATTCTTATTCAATCTTTTTTTATCTAACTATTAAGTAACTTCCGGTTTTTCATCAAGCATCATTTCTGCTTCATAACTTTTGGTAAAAAACGGTGGTAGAGGACTGTTCTTTTTATTATTTCTTCTTCGATTTTGATAATGTCAATAACTAGCAGACGTTTTATTTCCAGTTCATCATCTGAAAAAAGAGATCTGGGATATAACTTATTTTTCCAAGAGTCCGTACTTCTATATTGATGGAATTAAGTTATATGAAACAGTGATATTACTAATTTCTCTCTTGATCTACAACCGCAGAGCCCTACTTATATTTTGTTTAGTTATTCAAGAACAGAGACATCTTTTAACTGGTTAATTGTATATGATGATCACCAGTTTAACCCCGCTGTTGACCGAACCAATTATTGCAAAATAATGCACCACTAATAAAATGCAGTCTAGCTGCCAACATTTCTTTCAAAAAGTGGTAAAGAAGAAAGCCGAGTTTCAGAAGTTAATAGAAATATTCTCCAATCAATTGACATCATTTAAGGATATTCCCGCATCATCAGTCTTCCTGATTTAGATTTCGATAGGGAATAGTATTAGTAGCAGTTGCCATGGTACCTATGGTAGACCTGCGAATACCAGTCGTAATTCTGGCAGTCAACAGTATATACTGAAGAACTATTGACAATTAGCCGGATATTCTGATTAATTTAGATTTCTGGCCTGTAGTAAATGTAGGTGTAGAACTTGGTCAATGTGGTAAAATGTATTTCTATACTAGATAATTATGAAGCCGTTTGACTAGATTGATATGATTATTAACAATAATTTTTGCTTGAAACTTCACTCACATATTAATACAGCCTCACTATCTGCTATTTCAAATAAACTTATCTTATTCTGGCTTGTGGCCATATTTCAGAGAGCTGAGTGCAAAATGTTGGAGTGTTGAACATGCTGCAAAATGCTTTTATGCGTTTCACGCAGTAAAACAGCCAAAACTGCTATAAATGCTGTGTCTGCTTAGCTGTAGTGCATAAACGAGACTGATGATGACATAATCAGTGCAGTAGACGTAATTAAGTCAGCCGTTGAACACTAAGTATTTGTTAGTCTAAATGAAAGAAAGGACACTGGTTCAACAAAAACTAAATAATATCTTTCTAGAACTTCACATAAATGTCTGTCATGATAACTTAGCTGCAAGTGTAATGTTTGATACCTAATTGTCCAACGTATCTGCAGCGTCTTCATTGTATCACAGGTTATTTATCATTCGAATAATTATTCAGTTCCGGCTATTATAAACACCCATCAAACTGTGTCAGACAGGAGGATTTGTATCGAAAGTGAAATCATAATATTCATTCTGTCAATATAAGATTTCATAATATTTTAGGGAAAATAACATTTTATTCTATATTATGTAACATATTAGTTTACATTCTTTTGTTTAAACTTCAATTTAAAGTTGTTCAAAGGAAGATGACACTGTACAACTCCTTAGAAATTGTATCGTTCTGGATAATGAATATTCCAATTTTATATGGAAATGATGGTCAACAGGCAAGTCATCAAACTACTAAACAAACGTTTGGTAAAGTTAAGGAGTACAACGAAAGTATGTATTTAAATCAACAAAATCTGTTCACAGCTAAAGAAAAGAAGAGTGGATTTTCTTACACCCAGTCAAACAATGAATCCAAGCTAATACTTTCGAAGGATATTCATCGTCATCAATCTGATATAAATTTATCTCAATCAAGTTATCCTCATATTAAACAAAACCATGATATATCTAAAATTAATTATTACCAAAACAATTCATCGTATTACTATTATCCGGTAAATGATACCTCACAGATTTCAAAGCCTATAAATGGACACGAAATACACAATAATTGTTATGTTAATACAGATGGTAGACAAGAAATTCCATGTATATTGAATCCCTATCCACTGTACGAACTTTTGAAAAAATTTCCCCACATACATGTACATAAATTCTACCAAAATCCTCAGACATATTTATTTCAAAGTTTCAGTGATAAACAGAAAACAGTCAAAATGATTCTAAACTATGAAACTGGACAATATGCCTACCTCCCATGTCATACCTTAGGTGCAGAGGAGAGTGAAGTGAGTTTGTTTTTAAAATGAGTATAATCATATATCAGTTGAATATTATTTGATTTACAAATCTTTAGTAGGAAACCAATCAAATAAGAAGGAAATAGGAATTATTTAAACTTAATCAAACAAATAAAATGAACATGTACTGTTTCCTGGATGATGTATTCTTTGTGATGATAACTAAACGCATATACTCTTAAAGCTATTTGATTCTTAAAGAAAAATCCTTTTTGTTCTTGAATTAATGAAACTTAGATTACAGTATAACTTATCAATTCATCAGTATTCACCAAAGATGATGTTTAGAGTAACATGATGAACTCTCGAGTTGTTACTTTTGTCAAACTACATATAAAAAAATCCCTATCTGGACAATTACAGTAATGTCGTTGTCAATAGTTACACCAACTGATAATTTTGCATCTCGCGTCCTCAGTTTTACCCTTGACAACTGATGCATGCATATCCCTGAAAAACATCAAACAGCCTTTATTATTCATCTAATATATTATTCATGAAGAATACATATGAATTCGTGTCTAGTTTAGTGAAAACTTAGCTACCATTTCGATCTAATTTATTTCATATATACTTATAATTACACATATATGTACTGAATCTTCTCCAGTGTGGTTGTATATACAAGATTATCCTCAGATAAAATAAGCCATTAAAACCCAACGTTCATTTAAAATTTGCTGTTTTAAGTATAGTTTAGCTATTATGTTCATACTCGATGCAACTAAAAGACTTAAATACGGCTGAAAATAAGATCTAATAAAGTACTAGGAAAATGAAGACCTAGGTAATAATGTCAGTAAATACTTGATTTTTGAACCTCTAAACTTTAAACAGCTTATTTGTTTTAGTATAAAGCTTGTGATCAGTGCTTTCTCCTAGTTTATTGAAAATGGACTGCTAAAAACTCCTAGAATGTGACAAAACTGCCATTCAGTGCTCTCAAATTTTCTAGCTGATATCTTTAATGGGCGAACTGTACACAATTATTTGATTTCTACAGCTGCACGCCTAGTTAACATTCCATAAAAATTTGTCATTGCTAGCAGGAAGATGAGCATCAATCGCTGTTTAAAAAAGCATTTCGATACAATCCTGATGGTTGACTCGCTTACCACAGATTTTTTGTTCGCATATGATTTTTTTTATAATAATAGGTGTCTTTAATTTCTGAAGGCATTTTAATTGCTTCACCGTCAGTTAGAGAAGGCAACTGACACTTATTTCAGTCTGGATTCTAGTGGACTTTTAAAAATTATTGCTCTGTGATCGCAGAATGAATAATTGAAGTAGATAGATGGGATTTGTTTGGTTGGTGTCTCGCAAAATGCCAACAAACTTAGAATATCAAAGCGTATAGTCATGAGTCAGACCTAGCACACTCTAATTCAATTTCAGAGGCAAAATATGGATCACTGACTAAGACAAGCAGAAATACTGATTCTTCTGTGACAAGTCACAAACGAAAATCCGACAGAGGTTAATAATGTAAATAATTATTTTTCGCATTTCCATTATGACGGTTTCACGGTTATCGCCTTCATCAAGAGACGTTATGCCAACAGATGGAAGTCAGCTGATGGCTTTTATGTAAAATAATTCTGAGAGGGAATGAACGTTATTATCGTGGAGATGCATACTGAATTTCTAAAAAGCATAAAGTAAAACTTTCAACCTCCTAGTGATATGATCTTTAGAAGACCGAATGGAACAAAGTTTTACTCATTCTGACGTATAGGTATTTTGGAGGAAAATCTCTTGAAGATTTGATTTGCAGATTTTCATTGCAATGACTATAAATCTTTTATGATAGCAGGATGTAGTGCTGATATAACTGGTACATTAGAAGTGACGATAACTATTAGTGCTTCAGTATTTGTTTTCACATTGGACGACTTCAGCGGATTTTATTCTATTTTCAGAGTGAATTCGGTAATGGGTGAACAACAAAGTTAATGCAGTAGAATGAAATTGCAATCAATTTATTTTTCATTATAATCAGAATATTAGATCTCCGTCTATCGTACAATTATCGCTAGAAACATAAGTCTCTTTAGGACAGAATTTAAGTTAGTGAATCACGCAAGAATGTTGTAATGCTTAAATTCTCTAAAGTTATTTCGTTAAAAATAATATTCATTTGTGCCATACAGAAGAGTTGACTATTACATCACGAAACGTTCATGTTAGTTGATGCGTTTTAGGTATACTAAAAATTTACGTCTAATAGCGAATTGGAGTTAGAGTTGTTTTACAAGTGATAAGTGTATGGACAGAAATGTTTATCATTGATTTTTAAATATATTGAGATTTGCCAAAAGTTTTGTCAAACCAACGGAGATAACACGTGGACATGATGAATCTGTTTTATAGTATTTTGACGCGTTTAAGTGTTCCACAGGCAAGTTATCTTTTGCTTCATTTACTTCATCACCTGAGTCAGAGCCATTTAGGCTGTGAGAGCACAGCACTAGCTTTTAGAAAAAGTATTGAAGAAAAAAAGTAATAATGTTTATCCAGAAGCCATAAAAAGAAGAGTAGCCAAGTCCTACCACCGATGTCTTTTCTTTTGAGCATATAGAGAAAGGAACTATGCTTCTCACTTATTGATCAAGTGAGTGTTCGCAAAGCTATCTGGCCCCATGTTGAGCAGTGAAAATCAAACAGATACAGAAATAATTTCTATAAGTCATCTAATCATAAATAACTACTTATGTACAATTCGATTAGGTTGCTTAATTTCTTCATTTTCTTAATCTTAATCAGTTCTCATGAATTATAAGGGCTTGAGAACACTGGGAATATCTTGACCAGCCGCACTTCATAATAGCCTAACACTATTCTGAAAACTACACGCACGGAAAAGACGGATCATATTTGATCACCTCACAAAGAGAACAACTCACTACTACGAAAAATCATTATTACTGTTATTATTTTCCCCTCGAGTTGCGACTGAAACACAGGGCTTCAAAACCACATTTCCATTTCATTCTATTTTCTGCGGCAGGCTGGTTCGGCGACTGCCAATAATTTTCCCTTTTCCCCTCATAATATCTATTCTGTGTGATTTCCGCATGCCCGACTCGTCCATTCCCATTCTGGTTACAATCGAGGGACACGAGAAACTTGTGGTACATTAAGCTGAGAATACTGAGACTATTTTTCAGTTGTAATTAAGACTGTTTCATCAGAACATAAGCTTCTATTATAATTCATTCTTCATATTAGTTCACCTAGTCGACACATTTTTCTAAGTCATTTTGAAAAATCTAAGTGCGTTACTCACGCATTTTATATATGGATTTAAAAGCAATGTTGTGATCAAGTTTATAGCTCACTTGCAATAGATGAAATTTAACCAACAAACACCTCAGTATAATAAAATAGAGTAAGCCAAACGGCGAAAGGATGTAAGCATTATACGTCGTCAGGTTGATTTGCACTTCCTGTTGATTGACTATGCCAAACTGAAATTTTTGGTGTGTATGTGTAAACATGACGGCTCCTAGTACAGACACTTGGATAGTGTCTGAGGATTAAAACAATTTTATTTTGGTTGATAGAGACGTGCAGTGGAATACAGGATGCCTCTTTTCCCTAGTTTGAGACCAGTCTTTTAGATATACTTGAATCCCCAGTGAGTGACTACGTTTCGAGTGGCGTGAGTGCAGGATTAAGCCTCATTAGGAACGTTCTCACTAGCTGGGCTTGCAGGTGTATCCACTTGCTAAGAACTAAATGCGAATAAATGAGCGTCCTGGGTTCTACCTCTAGACATTATCAAACCAAATAGGGAGCATAGTGTGTTGAAAGACGAACATAATCACTGAAACGCTTACATAGGCATCTATTCATACCATGATCTTCATAAATCATATCTAAAAGGTCACAGAAATTTCAAGATACCGTTCGCAAAATCCAAAATAAGACATAGCGACTATGAATAATGTGCAAAAGTCTCAAAACGACCAGTGATTCAAGCATTTACCAAGAAACAACTTTTATTATTGGCTTCGTACTAAGAGCATACCATCTGTTTACCCAGTTAATAACGCATATTCTTAAACCATATTTTCCTATTGAACTTCTCAATATAGAAGACAAGTTATCAAATTTATATATAATCATATGCTTCTCTTCAACGTCAGCCAGCGTATGATGACGTTATCACTTCTTTTTCAACTATTTAAATTAAGCGAATGGTCATTTACTATGTTTATTTAATATAAAAGTGATTTCCCAGTTTTACTCAAGAAAAACAGTTACTAAATAGTCTCTAGAACATCAAGTGTATAAACAGGAAGTAGATACATAAGGCATAAGAAAATTTTCCCATGGTCGATAACAGTTAACAACCTAGAAGAATGATACTTTTATATTGATTTTATTTTTGATCAAACAAGCATTTAAGCCAATATGATGAAAATGTCTAATTGAGTCTTATTTTAATCCCCTCGCAATGTTGAAATATTTTTGAAGGATTTATACTACACATAATTTACCATATATTATATGTTCTTAATTACATGACATGGGGATTTTTCATACGATTATAAGCATGTTTATGCCATTGCACCTTAAAATATCGTCTTTCATCTTGCAGTCATTAAAAACGAATATTTCAGTTATGAAGACATTTGTTTTACGCATAAACTCCTGATTATCCATTAGTTTAAGATTTAAAACAGGAGTGCTCATAAAATGATTTGTCATCAACGCCAAAGATTTGATTGTTGTTGTGATATCGAGCAAAATACCATAAAACATTACCACTTAAACAGGCTTTTTGGTTTCGTGAATGGCGATCTAGCTGCAATGAATACATCTCATTGCCACTAATAAGAAAATCTGCGGTGTGTGTTTCACAACTGCAATTTCAAAAATAAGAGAAGTATTGTAGTTCAGCTGAAAGTCAAGACTCTGTTAAATTGAATTCAGTTCATCCCACTATTCAGGATAATAAATATTTATTCGAACAACTGTCC